TCATGAGTCCTATGGCAAGGTTCCACCTTCCACTGTGTCTTTGATAAGTGGCTGTTAATTTACTGGATGCCACCACCACTCCTGTGAGTTACAGACAGTGAAATAACATTTGGTCACTACTTCTCTGAGTTGAATTCAAGCATGAAATTGCTATCAATGACATCCTTACTTCCTACCAAAACTCTTCCTGCTAGGACAGTCAAGGAAAATATTTATAAGTTCTGAAAGCACCTTCAAGTTTATGGGCACATGGTTATCCATGTGAATCAAACTAAAGCTGACAGTCCCGAGGGGCCACATTAGTTTTCCCACAAAAACACATGAATGTAGCACTTCTGTCCCACACTTGGCAGGTTATTCATTTATTTTAATTTGCAGCAACCGTGACTGAGTTACATTCATCTTCCCAGATGTTGTTAGTGATGAAAGCTGAAGGAACAAGTCTTTTCTGATGTTGATGTACTGTGTGCCAAACCTCATCTTGAGCCCCTGGCTCCTGCTGTACTTTCCTTGTGTCTGTACTGCTGCCTTGTGATAAATGAAACTTGCAGAATCACACGTACTGTGGTACAGGAACAAGCATCTCGTCTGGGGAGTGGTCAGTGCCGGAGGCTAAAACCCGGGCTGTGTGTGCATCTGTGGAGGCTCRTGTAATAACTACAGCAAAGTTATTATAACTAAAGCAAAGGTGCTGAGGCTTTGATTACAAATGTCAAACAAAATGGGAAACAAAGCGAGGCTGAGGAAGGAAAAAGGCCCCAGCCCTGTGTTCTCCTCCCCCTGCCTCATCACAACAAGCAGCTTTTCTGCCTTTGTTTTATTATCTCCAAATGCCTTTGCAGTCTTGCCTTCTTGGCACATTCGTAAAGTCCTGGGAAGCTCAGAGTTTTCTCTCAGTTACACTGAATAGCCACAGATGGTCTAAATGATCGTTTGTAAATAAATAAATAATCAGAACCAAAAAAGCTCTGCAGAAGTCCTCTAACCAGTCTTTTCTAATTTTTTACAAAACACTCCAGAAACAGATTGCATACTTCACCAGCAGACTGGAACAGCCATGTTACCAATTTGCGCAGATGGAGATCTATTTCATCTCAGCTAATTCAGGGTTTTTGATTTCCACAAAGCTCCTTCCACAACACTGGGACTCCCACTGGAAGCAGYGAAGTACCAGACCTCTGCAGGATGAGAGATGGGCACCCCAGGAGYAGCTCCCATTTTGTGCTCACATCATTTCATTGCAGACCCATCCAGCAGCCTGGATGTGAGACAAACCCCCCAGCACAGCTCAGCTAAACCTCTGTTTCCTTGTCCCTGCTGTGCCCTGGGGCTCTGCCTCTGTCTACGCCTGGGTACTGAGGTGATGGMACTGTGTGCAGGACCCAGGTGAACTTGGACCCCTCTGTCATGGGGGAGGTCACACTGCTGCTATGGGACACAGTTTTCATTCCAGGCTCCAGCTGAACCCCGGCTGCCAGTGGGGAAAATGAGATCAGGCCATGCCTGGGGGCATGTGGGGCTTTGGAGCAGCCCTTGAAGGACCAGTTCAGGTGTGGGGGACAGGCACAGAAGGAGCCTGAGCATTCATCTCCTCCCTTGACCTTTCACAGAATCAGAGAATGGTTTGGCTTGGAAAGGACTTAAAGATCATCTTGTTCCAATGTCCCTGCCATGGCCAAAGCACCATCCAACCTGGCCTGTAACAATTCCAGGGATGTGGCACCCATTTCGGCTCTAACGTCTCAAATAAAGGGCTTTGAAACTGCTACTCAGCTGYTGCATACCTGCATGGACTCCTGGCTCCTAAATACATACCTGGCTCCTAAATACATTCCCAGCAGCACTCCTGGAGCCCCAACTGCCTCCAGAAAGAGCTAATCAGTGCCTACCTTCGCACGTGCATGTAGTGCACGCATGCATGTGGATAAACACACACATACAAGTACCAAGCAGATACATGCATGCACTTGCATGCCCATACGTGCTACCAGTCAGACCTCGGGTGTCAGTGCAGACAAAGCAGGTATTTAAGGACAAATGAGGAATTAAAGCAGCTTTATCTGCTATCTGGATAAAGCAATAGCTGGGGAACAGTTGCACCCTGCTTCCCACATCAGCCAGCCCTCTCTGTCAGCAGCACATTTCCATGAGGCTGTGGACATGGGAGAGGAAGATATTTCCCAGGAAATCCTCTGCTGTCCCAGCCTCGGCCACGTGCAGAGAGGCTCCCTGTCATCTCCGTGATGAAACAATTTCAYTGTTCCTCTCCCAAGCCTGCCAGTTCCTCAGAAATGGTGACAYGTGCTTGCAGCAGCCAGGGCTGGATTTGCCTCTGCTGAAATGAAATGGCACAGCAGGATGGCCATGATCACCCTGGTGGAAAAGACTGAGATTTTTTTCCACCTCAAATCAGACACAGKGTCTTAGCTAGGGTGCCACAATGGTCATTTTATGTATCCTATTTGCAGTAGATTCCCTTTTAAATACATGACATATTTAATGAATGTATTTAACTATTTTTCCAGCCAGAAACTGCTGGATGGAGACAGAGCACTCCTTTCCAGAGCTGCAGGCTTCCTTTTTTCCACCCAGTCCCAGTGTTCAGCCACCAGTGCTGCCACACATACTATGCCCCGTGTGCCACATTTACCATMCAGTTGATCATAGGAGAGGGAAATTTAGTAACTCCTCACAAACTGCATACCAGAGCCTCTTCAGGGCATTGCATTTGTAAGGAACACAGAGGGGAGCCCATAATAAATGTTACAAGGGGAAATACCTGTGACTGATAAGAAGCTGAGCGGATGACAAATCACAAAAGCCTCCAGAGAACCCCTCAGGAGCAGATAACCTTGAGACGTACCTGTATATAAAGATTAAACAGCAACCCGAGCTCAGCAGAGATTTATAGCGCTTTGCAAGCGTCTTGGTTTCACTGTTTGCTTTTGCAGTAGTTTTTGGACTTTATTGTTAGTTTCTGTCTGTTAATATTCTGCATAGGCCCAAAAACACAGGTGTAGAGAAGTCACCGCAGAAAAAACAAAGAATTTATTTGAAATACTTTACAAGGAGATTTTATAGATCAATATCCCCAGCAAATGAGAAAGATAACCAGGAAAGGACACACTGCACCTGTGAGCAAGGTTGTGCAAAGATACAAACATAAAGGATATAATATATTGACATGTTTCAGCTTACTGGCTAAATCTGGTTATTCATTCCTTTGTAAGGGGCAGCTCCAGTTATTACAGGCTATATATTTTTGGTAAGACAAATATGTGAGGCAGTAAATGCCTTTGTGAGTATGCTCCAACAGGAAGGGTATGGCTACTACTGCTATTTGGGGCCTCTCACAGAAAAGACCCGTGGGTATAAAACCCGTAGCCAGCTAGGGACTGGGTCAAAACTTTAACCAGAGAGCCCATTCTACCRAATGGCTGAAGGGAGAGGAAAGAACTCCAAAAGGTCAGGTGCTACAATGAATATCAGGAAACACTTTCTCACTGCCGTGGCTGATCCCTGGCACAGGTTGCCTAGCAAGGCTGTGAGTCTTCATCCTAGCAGATTCTCAAAATGTGTCTGGACAGTCCTGGCAACTGGCCCTAGGTGTCCCTGCTTGAGCAGCAGGCTGGACCACRACCTCCAGATGACACTGCCAACCCCAACCATTCTGCCATTCTGGCATTTTTTGCTTAACTATTGAGTCACTCCAGCTTCAATCAATTACCTTTGTCTCTTTGTCAATTTAAAGGGTTTAAGCTTGCACAGTTTGCAAGGATGGGAGGCTTGTCCAGGCACAGGTTTCCACAGCATGCACCACAGGCATTGCTGAAGAGACCGATTACATGGGCTGGCTTCACKTGGAGAAGGACAAATACTTGGTGACCACCAACGTGCATTTCCTCTAGCCTTGCCCTTTTGGTTCCCAACCAAAATTTCATGTTGTTGGGCCACAGTGAAGTGAACAGGTTGTCCACACAGACCTCTCATATGGATGAGCTTCCCTATTACAGGCTGGACATGAGGACTYGCACTGTAAATCCACGGGTGAAAGTCTGCACTGCCAGAACTCCATCAGGGAGGCGAGCAATCTCCCTGGGTTCAAGGATGAAGCCGATGGGATTTTTTTCCTGCACGTAGAGAGGGAACTGTGCTTATCTGATCTGACAACTCAATGTGCAAAGTTGAAGGTGGTTACCAGGGGCCACTCCTTGTCATGCTCACGGAGAGCCAGACGTGCCCGTAAGATGTACTTAACACAATGTGCCAACTTCTCATTCCAAGTGGACTGTTCAATAACAAAGGGGAGAAAAGCAGGGGGGAAGGATTAGATGACAATTGAGCAGTTGTTTGTGCAAGTGGAAGAAATAACTTTTCAGGAACAGAGCATGGGTCAGGGCAGAGGACGGTGTGGGCGTTCACTGAGGAGGTCAGACTAAACAGGCAGTGATGAATTTTATACTTATGGCACTGTTGGGAGAAAAAAATGAAATTAAACACACACTGAGGACACTGAGGAAGAACAAACAACTCATTGTGTGGAAAGCAGAAGTGCTTTGGAAGCGCCAGTGCAACTATCTGATTTTTAAATTCGTCAGTGGTTTGAGAGATAGATTTSTTCTAGCACAGCTTTGGTTGAGAGACATCTCTTCATTAGGCTCAAAGGTCTCCAAATCACTTTGTTCACTCATTTCTCTTCCTGCAACCATGTAACAYGATGGCTTTAACTAGATAAATAATCATACTGCAAGTGAATGGAAATTCAAGGGAAAAATTAATTTTAGGGAGAAATTTTACTGGTAAGGTTGAAGTGTGGCTTCAAGCCTCTGACTTGATGTCCACAGTTGTCCTAGACTGGCTCAAAAGAAAGAAAAAGGAAACTTATTTTTAAAATGGTCAGACATAGTAATTTTTAAAGTGCTTGGGGAACTCAGATTATATAGTAATGCAAAATATTTTCATATCATCCCAGGACATTTTTGTTTATACTGCTAAGTACTATTTTATTTGTTCCAGCTTTGCCACAGATGCACAAAATCTGTGAACGGAGAAAGAATGTCTGCTCCCTATGACGGCTTTTAAAAAATCAGAAAAGCAAGTAAAATCCATTTCTTAAGTAAACATTCCATTAAAAAATCACTATATGTTCATAGAAAACAAAGGTTTAATTCAAAAAAGTTAATAACTGTGTATTCCAGAAAGTTTGAGTCATCCACAGTAATAATTAGGGGGTTTGTTCCATACAAAATGCTTTATTTAACCTTCATGCCTCCATTCAGATAATTGTACAAATGCATACATTTAAAGGTTTAAACTCTATTTCAATTCACAGCTCAATTCATAGGAAAGTTGAATACAGAAAAGCAATGCACCAACAAAATATGTCTGAGACACCATTTAAAACAATAACACTTGTTCATTTAAATCTTTGAGAATAGAGTGGAATAATCATCCTCTGACAGAATTTCCTTAGGGGACTCCCTTTACATTATCATAGGGCAAAAATCACCTTTGTACAGTAAGAGGAAAAAAAGCTCTGAGTATATTTACAATACATACACTATACATAAATACAAGAACAACACTTACATAATATTAATAAACTTATAACATAGGCATTGCCTAAACACTACATAGTATATAAATGCAGAGGAAACTATTGGGAAATTAGATTTTCAGAAGTTTAATTTTTGAAGAAAAGTAATCTTTGTATTTAAAAGCTTTTGAAAAGAAGGCAAAAGAAAGACTACAAATCTAATATGTTTGCCTGCTAGCACTGGTATTTTTATTCCTTTTAAATGTAGGAGCTCTACTGACACTACAATCTCTATGGGGTTCCCGATAATGGCCCTCCCTTTTGCATCTTACCTAGGAAAAAGATTGAGGTGCTGTACTTCCTAATCCCATTGCTGTGAAGCTTCAGTCCCAAATGAGTTGCTTGGTAAACTACGGGATGTTTTTGTATTTTTACACAGGAGGATCAAATGAACACTCATTGGTACATATAACAACACTCTGATTAAAAGGAACAATTTGGGGCCAAATACAATCCCATCTTAGGTTTTCATTCAAATAATGCCATAGGGGAATTTGCTTCTTCCATAAGTAACTTGGCCAAGAATGGTATTTTTCAGTGCTGTTGTTTCTCCCTAAACACAGCTGAAAGAACTTTCTGATTCAATGGTATTTTTGACCCCACATGCTGATAGCAGTGTCCAAATCTCTCTTTCCCTTGATGTGTATGAATGCATGTGTCTGTGTGTGGGTTGAAGGTCTTAAGGCTGATGGTGCATGAAATTTCAGTAATTACTATCAATGTGTATATTTTACAAATGTGCAAATGGGAAATTCAGCTTAGTAAGGACAGACAGAAGGTTAAGAGAGCATATTGTGTAGGTGTTCAGTGAAGAACCTACACTACCAAGGAAGATGTGTATAGGAGAACCAGGAAAGAAATAAAACCATGAAACCATGCAGGTTTTGTTTTGGTTTTTTTTGGTTTTTTTTTTTGTTTTTTTTTAAGATGGAAATGCAGGAGTGAAAAAGTCTGAAACCAGGAATGACATGAACTCTGAATAGTGAAAAATATTTGTTCAGCCATCAAGATTTGGCTCAAGCTGTCTTACCAAAGCTCTTTTATATCTAGAAAGGAAGAGGGAGAAAAGCAGTATCTGAACATATTTGTGCATTTCATGGTTCATGCTTATGACAATCCATCAAAGCCATCACCTGTGGTCCCTTACCAGACACTGAATTATTGTTTTTTAAATGCAGAGGTCACAGCACAGAGCAAGGTTTAGCAAGTCAATGTGTGAACCWCCTCTTCTTTTGTAACTGAGAGCACTTTTGTTCACTGAAGCTTCTGACTCTGAAGTGGGAAAGATGTTGCAGGTGATTCCTATGGACAACAGGATCGCAAGTTTTTTAATTCTTATTTTTGTAACAGCTAAAATTCACATGTGCAGTTTTGCTTCTCTGGAGGACTGGAAAACTTGGTATTGAATAATGTAAAAATTACCACACGGCCAATTAATTTTATTTCATAATTTAAAGTCAGTGAGCATGAGCTGCTACAGACGAATGCTGGAAAAGAAAAAAACAAACAGCTCAATCCCAAACAAAACCAAAAAATCAGAACAAAACAAAACAGACTAAAAAAAAAATAAAACAAACCAAAAAAACCAAACCAAAACAAAAAACAAACCAAAACCCCAACTCAGAGTCTGTTTTTTTCAGAATGAAGGGGAAAAAAAAAACTGGCTCTTTTTGGGAAGGTGAAGACAAGTTGCCCTTTCCTACAGAAGAACTGACACATGTAGGGCTGGAATCAGCCAAACCATCCAACATGGCAGATTTCTAAGTGTGCCCCCTTGTAGTGTTGTTACTACARAACAAAGAACCTAATACTCCAGTCCAGGAACAGCTTCAGGGTGAGGAACTGATGGCTCTTTTGTCCTTCTGAGGACACATTCCCTGGTCTCTCCTAAAACCCCCAGCATGAGTTGTATTCTTTTACGTGCTTAACATCTGGAGATTATGCTCGGGACAACAGAGAAAGTATATACATGTTCTGATGGGATTATTTCTGCCAGTGGTGAACATTTAAATTTGTTACTGAATGAGCAGCCTTGTCACATAATTAACTCATGCACATTAATATCTAWTTTTTACATGCACAACCCTGTGCGCTTTTTTGGGTTTTTATTTTTGCACCTGCACTTTCATTTGTGTGTGAGCCTCGGTGAGACTCCAGCAGCAATCCACTGATGGCAGCARAAGTCTAGACAAAATGCAGAATTTTTCAAGTACAAAATTTTGCCTGGATAAATGACAAGTACAAATTCAGAGGACAGAAAGCAATCTTCCTTGGCAAAGTCATTAGGACAACCAGTTACATTTTGACTTCCAATAAATTAATTTTTAAAAACAGAAGAAGCATGAGGGCTGGCATTACACTGCTATTTTAAGAATCCATTAGCAGTAGTTAATATTTACCAAAAAAACTTGAGAAAAGAGTCCAAGAATCACAGCTGGCCATTTTCTGGTAAAATCAATTAGTCTATTGATGCAAATGTTTRGGCCACTCAATATAAAAATCTCCATACTTCATTTTAGGAATACTGACTTCTTGTTTGCTATTCAAATAGTCTCTAGACTGACAGTTCCCRATTTTTCACTCACTTGTCCCCAAAAGAAACAGAAGTGATATATTTTGTCCACTCATGAAGTCAACCCAGATGATATTAAATACTATGAGCATTAAMCAATGAATAGGAAGGAGACACAAGGTGAACGCTTGTGTTTCCAGAGTTCAATGCAGAGGATTTTTCAAGAGAATCCCTGTTCTATCATATTCCCTAAAAAAAAGCTCCATTGGGCTTATTGCTGRTTTTTTGATTACTTCACTAGAGAATACCCTGGGTACATGGGCATATCCAACATAAATGRGGAAGAAATCCCCTAAAACACTGCTTTGACAACAACCTCCAATCACGCCTACTGAAAATCGGTACAGCTACGAGTCATTTGTAAACTAAGACTTTCTTCTTACAAATATATGACAGATGTTATCTGAGAAAATAACTAAAACCTCTAACACAGTATCTCAACATGTGAACATACAAATGGCACTTTGTGTTTGTTTCYGTGCTGCATTATTGTTCTACAAGTAAAATTTCATTTTCACCTTATTGTTAACAGAATCCCATTAAGTTATTGCTGTGTAAAAGTATAGGAACATCCCATCAGTTCTAATTACAGGCACTTTCAGTTTCTGTTTCACCTTTTGAAATAGATTTTAGGCTATCTCACTGAAGTGTATGTGTGTATTAACCACCAGAACTGTCCTGCTACAGTGGATATTCTTGACATGTTACTGCACCTAGAAGACTAAACTCCCCTGGAATCAGCAAAAAGCAGCTGCCTATTTCAGCTCTGCAACCTTTAATCAAGATGCAGTGTAGTCAAGGAAATACAAGAAGAAATAAAATCATAWGAGCGTTTGCCATTCCTGTATCTGCAGTTCATTGTAAAATGCCAGAAGTAAAAAAAAAAATCACAAAACGCCAAACGTTTCATATGGTTTTCATTTTGTTTAAGTGTTTTCTTCCTTTATTCAGTCAAAGACATTGAGCACTGACTTATTTGACACTGAAGGACTTGGTAAAATTTTGCTATTATCACACACCATCTGCAAAACAGCAAAGAAGTGGCCACTCCATTTTGCAGAGAAAACATGCTCTGATAAAACAGAACAATTTACTTCTTGTGTTTTGTGTTTAAGCTTTGCAAGGCTTTATCTTAACAGTCTTCCTGATGAAAACTAAACGTAAGGGTTGTTTAAAAACATACTTCATTAAACTTATTTAACATTCCATGTAAAATCTGAGTTTGAAAATACTTCTCCATTATCACATATATTACAGAATATTTCAATGGTTACAAGAATAGTAAAATGCTTTCAAGATGCTTTGATTTCTAAAGATGCAGTATCCTTACATTTTTATGCCAAAACCTGATTTATTGCAGAGAATTGAAGCCTTTTCAAGGTTCCAATGGGCATGACTTCATAAGCATACATTACACAGCAACTGCTGTGCTATAGCGAAACGGTGAAAATACAACAATCCTTAAATTTCTTTGTGCACTTCTCCAGTCATGTATCCCAGGCAAAGGCATATCACAATAACAYAAGCTGGCTTCTTAAGGTAGTATTTTCTGTAACAGTGCTTATTTCAAGTTTTTCCTTTTCAGTCCTCCCTCTCCCCAAAATTTTAATCTCAAATAAACTCCTTTATTACCTGCACATGAGTGGAGACATTTGAAAGTGCTGGGGTTTATAAGCATGGGTGTAATGATGAGGATGTGGGAGCAGCATGGATTTACTGAATGATCTTAAGACTCGACTGCTGCGGAAGATGCAGTTTCATACACTGACTTTTCCAAATTAAATTCAAACTAAAATGTAAGTGGGATATTATTAGTCATACTTACTCCGACTKTGAGGTACCCACCTTCAATAAAGGAGAAAGAGATTTTTTTACATTAAACAGCATTTATTATCAGAAGATAAATTTATAAATGGCAACTAGAATACATTTTCAATGTGGCTAATGGAAAATGAGACCTATGATCACTGTTATTCCCATTATTAAAGGAGAGAAAGGCTGTCCAGCTATTTGTTCATGTTCTGCACTGCGAGTTTACTCAAACATCAACATCACTGATGTAATTTTCAACACTGTTAATTTTGTTATACATAACTCCAGCAAATAATCATATATACAAGTCAGTCTAAATCTATTTAATTAATTATGTAAGCATGAGAGAGAATAAAGAATACTGCATCTTCATCCCCAGTAAAAACCGCCATTGCAATGAGCCAATTTTACCGTGCTGAATGTAACAGGTGCTCAAAAAATAATGACAATTTAAAATTTTAAAAGTTCTGTATCAAAGCTGTTTGCTCATAACATTTTCCAAAAATGCTGGCTACTGAGATTTCCTGACAAACCCATTTAGAACTTTTGAGACATGAAGTCTGACACTTCATGGCATAATTTCCCTTAAAAGCTGTAATGGATGMTGCCACAGTGGACTGAAACTCTCTCTTTCTGAAAGAATGGGCCACTGTATATTTGTGTCTCCCAACTGCTCAGTGAAGACCGACCTACTGTGTCATGTCAGGATGAGATTTGGTATTTCTGCATGCTACACATGATGCAAGCCTTTGCCACAACCATCAAATGTCACAGACCTGTGGTGGGGTACCAGGATTTTAGAGGAAACTACCCTGGAGCAATTGCCCATGGCCTTTGCCCAAGCAGAGAAATTTGGCAGGTCTGAACCACAGCCAATGAAGGCAAGGACACACTGAGGATCTGGGGGACATCAGCTCCACATTCAAACACCCCCATCCCATTGAGTAACTTCTCTTCAAACACTTCCAAAGGGGACAAAAACCAGAAAACAACCTCAGAGTAACTGGGATCAAATCTGCAGAAGCTGGTATGAATGAGAACCTTGTCAAGAACTGCACTGGGTATCTGAAACCCAGTGGTGGACACTGCTGGTTATGGAAGTCATCTRCAGGTAATGGCAGCATGACAAGCCCTTGCATGTGGGCTGGAAAGGTTGAGGATGTACTTCCAGCCTGGSAAATAACAAAATGTAGCACACACTCCTTCACTTTTTGGCTTCACTCTGCTACTCTTGCCACACTCCATGCCTGTGTCCCTTGGCATGAGTGTTGCTTTAAGCCTCTGTCTCTTTGGAGTTCTTTGAATAAAACCATACCCTCTTCAGTTGCAGTGTTTCCAAAGCATAAAGTAACAGGCAACCAGCTGAAAAAACAGGGATTCACACAGACCAACCTTAGCCTTGGGAGATGAGCCTCTCCAGGATCTGTGATACATATGCTCCTCCACAGGGCATTTCAAAGCTGAATGCTAAAACTGAAGGCCTCTCCATTTCTCTTGTAGTTTTTCTGTTTTTATTGACTACAGGGGAAGCCTAAAGAGGAACACTGATCTCTCCCTCTTGCACCTTGCCTTTGAAAGGAACATCACATCCTCTTGTATGCTAACAGAATGTCCATGAAGAGTTTCTGCTCAAACAAACCTAATTTWCTAGAGAGAGAAAAAAAATCACAGATCCCAAAAGGAATTTTGTATGCCATTGTTTCTTCAACTGAATTACTGCTATTCAAATAATTAATTGGTAAAATATTCTTGGGCAGGAAAAAAAATTTACCATTGTCTTCTACCTGACCTGATTTCTTTCCCTAAATGCCAAGAATGACAAATGCATTTAAGGGGATGATACTGAAGTACACAAAAAACAGACCTCAGACACAATCCATGAAGCACCTCACACAAAATACTATGACAACCAGTTTTTTAAACCAACAGCAGTCGCACTGCTGGCAAAGACACAGTTCTGCTGCCCTGCAACGCCTCATGGCCTATCCAGAAGCCCTTATTTATCCCTGATTTGGAGATGGATTCTAAAATGTCATTGAATTTGGTGGAAGTAGATGACCAACATGGCCAATGGGAATTGATAGAGGCATTTTTTCCACAATGGYCATGAATAACTTGTGTTGAGTTTCTCTGCTGACCACTCGGCAGTGGGAAGCCTGAGCTTTAACAGTAGTAAGTTCTTAGAGAGGGCTGATAAGCTATCTGTACTGGGGAATATTAAGGATATTTAAAGACAATCAGACTCTGGTATCTTTGACTGCTGCTATAAAGTATTATCCCAGTCATATTAATCCTCAATTAATTGTAATTTCTTTCATATCTATATGGGTACTCTGTGCTGTTTTTTCTTAAAGATTACCTTGATTTCAGAATCCCCCCCCAACATTATTACAATGTTTATTTTGGGAATCTGATATTAACTGAGATGATCAAACATTTAAAAATGAACAAGTGGTAGTAGAATTTTAATCTGTGCAATTCCTGGAACCAAATATTCATAATTAAATGCATTGCAAAAGTCCTTTATATATACATCTTTCATCTCTAAGCTATGGAAATCTCAACACTTAAAAAATATTGCCAAGCCTCCCCTTTGTCAAATTTAGCTGAATAGACAGATCCTTGTAAGGAAAGAAAACAGAAAAACACTATTCTGTTTGCATGAGTAACTGATGACTAAGAGTTTCTCTCTTTCCTACATAATTCAATTAATACAAATTGGTTTGCAATTATAAGGCTGTATGGGAATGATCAAGAATTTCCTTTTATTTAATCTGAAAAGGCTTGGATTGAAAATCCCAGCAGAGGCAGCCACTGGTACCCATATAAAGGGCCATTTATATCATACTAGACAGCTGGCAAAATCTAGTTATTCCCTAAYTCCCAGGGAGCAATCTAATGTCTTGCAGAGCACCACTGCAGAAATATTTCTCTGTCCTACTTACAGTTCATCCACTAACTCCTCAACAATCAACTCTTTCCTGTATCGTTCCTGCTTTCCAGACATACGTGTTATGTTAAAGGAAATGAAAGTACTTAATTGTGGTACCTAGCAGGTCAGTGAAATCATCAAAAATATTAACTTAAATGCTTAAATCTTACATGCTGTTTCTGCACGTCCCCACTTGTGTTGGTGTGGAGTAGATTATTGTCTCRAGAGCCATTTTATTCATTATTGCTTTTTCTCTGCAACAGATGCAGTTGTTTCTTCTCTGTTTTGTTTTGATGATACATTCAATTCCATTTCACGAATGGCTATACCACTAACCTTGGTACCAGCAAGTACAAGATCTGACTATTTCCTTGTGTTCAAATAATGGTTGTGGGGAAGAGGATACCTGCATAAAAGAAAACTGCACATTGAGAACAGGGTAGTAGTTTTTAAGTGGGCTCTTTCTACACAAATCAGAAAATGGTTCTAAAGAAGTCCATGGTAAAATACAGATACTTAATATGGTACTTCAGTAGAGATGCTGCTGCCCTTTGCTTATTTTACAGACTTTAACAACGACAACAACGAAAGRAAAGAAGGAAAAAAGTGAAAAGAAAAAGATTAAATGGCTGGTGTCCTCTAGAGCATAATGACAAATTGTGGTACTATATTAAAATGCCACCATCATTATTGCAAAAGTCTGATTCAAGCAACCCTCCAGYTCTGGCAGTGGGACCTCTCCAGCAGAATCTTCTTGCCTACTCACACGCAGCTTGTCTGTAGCGCAGCTCGAGTGCAATGCTGACACTGGCCAGATGGTATTGAAAACAAGGGGAAAAGATGGCATAATACAGATCTAGCGGTCTTGCTCTCATCATCATCATCGTCATCGTCATCATCGCTTTGTGGTATCTATCCTCCAACCAGCAGTGATTTTTCAGGAACAAAATGTCTGGCAGCTGAGAAAACATACAAGCTATAAACATTTTTTTGTCAAAGGATGCAGCATGTAAAATAATGCCCATTCCTGTAGCATTTCGGCTGCTATTTCCCAGGTGATTGTGATGACACTTTCAGGGGGTAGCCATGCTGAGGGGCAGACAGGGTTAACTTCAGACGGCGAGGAGAAGAATGGCACTTCTTTTCCTGCTTATTTTTTGATTTCTGTTACTATTTTTTGTTACAGGTGTCAGGGAAAGCCCTGCCTGTTAACACTGTAGAGGGGGATTCAGCCCTGCTGAATTCACTGCGGGTAGTTAAGAGACCCAGCTCTTAAACTCGGCTGGAACAGGTAGCGTTTCTCAAACCAGCATGTGCCTGCGGCGATGGAGCGCCAAGTGATCCGAGCGGGAGAAGCTGCGGTCACAGTCTGCACACTTGAATGGCTTCACYCCCGTGTGCTTGCGGTAATGCCTCGTCAGTTCGTCGGATCGAGCAAACTTCCAGGTGCAGCCTTCCCAGGTACATTTGTAGGGTTTTTCTCCTGGGAGAAACAAAAGAAAGAGGGGAGGGGGGAAAAACAGGTTGTGACTTTCCCCTTGTTGCTATTAATCCCCACAATCCCCTCTGCACGCTTCCCATGAACACCCAATGAATGCCTAGAGGGTGCTTTAGGCCAAATTACACAATTATGAGGTACTGGATCTGCTGAATGCGAGGAAAAGGGCCTTGAGATTTATCATTCCTGTGGTATTCACATGACTAAGAAAATCAACAGGATTAAGGCAATAATATAGATCCTACCTTGCAGGGGTGATGCAGGGATTAACATCAGGACAAAGGGCTGTGTAATTATTCTCATGATTACCATACGAGTTTGCAACCCTCATCTTGTCAGGCTACACTTTCTCCCCAAATGACCACATTACCTGATATTTCCACAATTTACCATGGGCTGACACAGACTTCCCATTATTCTATGACATTTATGAGGGTTTCTGATTATTTGTGTAAACAGCACTCCGGGACATTTCTTAACAAGCTGGTAAAAATCAACTACAGCTTCCCACTGAAACATAAAAATCCAATCTGCAAAACCTCCTCATTATTTACTTACTTTCAGTAAAATTAATTTTGCATAAGAKGTTACTAGGAATGGTGCACAATATTTAAATGTACTAAGCCATGGGACTTCACAGGACTGTTCATAAATACCGATTTACTTCAGTGAGCTCAGACTTACCACACTCTTGTTTTATATTTAAGGGTAAGAATGATGTACTATGTCAGAAGAGAAGATTAATACAGCCAAAATGGATTTTGGGCTTTCATAAAGCAAACTGTTATAAAATCCCATACTTGACATGTTTCTAGACTATACTTCTTTGTGACTTCTATCAGCCACCCTCAGAGTCTACAGGTTAAATGCTCTCGGCAGTTACCTTGATCCCACAGTTCAGCATAAACCAAAACTGAGGAAAGGAAACTGTGTGACRTGTGTATTTATCTTCTTTGTGAGTTTAAAATTTTACTTCCCGTTCTGAAACCAGCTAATCATAACCTGGACAACAAAGGAGCATCTCTGCAACAACTGTTTCCTTTGTCAGGCACAATCATTCCCCAGTTATTTATTATCTCTTATGAATCATGAGCAGCTTGCAAGAAACTATTTCAATTACATGAACCAGTGACGCAACACTTGCTTTGTCGTAGGCAGAAACTCCCTTCTTGCGTTTCTTCAAAAGTCAATAAATGCTTTGCAGAGAGCCCTTGGTTTCCAAAGAAAATTCCCAAGTAAGAATATCACCACAAAGTTCAAACAGCCCTGAAAAATCCAGCTGAAATGGCCTCTGTAAAGAAACCCAGTGCTGCACAGACATCAGCATGATATGTCAGCGAGGTTGTCAGCAGCATTGGAGCTCCTTGGGTTGGTGCCTTCTGTGCACCATCTGGGCTGTGCTGCAGTTTTGATGTCAGATGGGGGTGGGAAACAGTTGCTGCAAGGAGAACCCAGCAATGAGGGCTCTGACCACAGCCTGCAGTTGTACCAGCAGCAACTCAGCCTAGATAATTTTATATATCCCCAACCAAGCACTGTGCACCAAACAGTGCTCGTTGCCACTGGGCGGCCACAGCGTTGGGCACCTCGAATGCAGCAGCTGCTGTGAGCTGGACACGGCAGATGGTGGCAGGYACACTCTTGCCAGTGACACAGTGCTACAAAATGCGCTCAAATTTGCCACCAAACTGTCTTACATACATATTCTTGCCACAAACAGTTGGTGCAGAGCACTGTACAAATATAGYAGTAGCCCCTTCCAACTTGGCAGGTTGATTCCAACGCTCTCGTCACATCAACGATTTCCAAGTGCAGCGCGTGTCCTGCCCATCCCTCAACACACTTTTAAACCCTTGTGTTCGCCAGATACTGCCTCRGTTTGCTTCTTTGATCCCAGACACTTCCCAACTATAGATAATTCTTAAGCTCTGGATTCTTACTTGAAAGCATCTGAAATTTTAAGTATCTTCAGAGATGGAAAGTCAATTMCTTCACTGGACAACCAGGCTGAAGAATYTTTTCCTCATATCCAATCTAGCCCTACCTTGGTGCAACGTTGGTGTCATTGCCTTTTGTCCTATAGCTTATTACTTGGCAGACCAACCCCCACCTTGCAACAACTTCCTTTCAGGTATTTGTAGAAAGTAATAAGGCTCACCCCAACCCCCTCTTTCTCCAGGCTGAAGAACCCCACTTCCCTCAGCCATTCCTCCTAAGACTTGTGCTCCAGACCCTTCACCAGCTCCGTTGTCCTTCTCTGGACATGCTCCAGCAGCTCAATGTCCTTCTTTTAGTGAGAAGGACAAAATTCATCACAGGATTCACGGTGTAGCCTCACCAGGGCTGAGTGCAGGGGCACAATCACTGCCCTGGCCCTGCTGGCCACACCATTGCTGATCCAGGCCAGGATGTCACTGGCCTTCTTGGCCACCTGGGCACACTCTGGATCATGKTCAGCTGCTGTTGACCCAGATTCTTTTCTGCTGGGCAGCTTTCCACACACTCTGCCCCCAGCCTGTAGCATTGCATGGGGTTGTTGTAACCCAAATGCAGGACCTGGCACTCGGCCTTGTTGAACCTCACACAACTGCMTCAGCCCATGGATCCAGCCTGTCCAGATCCCTCTGCAGAGCCTTCCTACCATCCAACAGATCAACACTCCTCAACTTGGTGTCATCTGCAAACTGACTGAGGATGCACTTGATGCACTTGTCTAGATCACTAGTAATGATACTAAATCCTTCCCCTCGTACACAGAATTCCAGATCTTCTTTCCTCAGTAGAAAACAGAGAACACAATGCAGAAAGGGATGGTTTGTACAAGAAACACCAGAAACAGTTTGCTCATCATCACTTCAGGTGAGACCTGAAAGTCAGCTGAGGGAAGGATGTAAGTGCAGATCACTCAGCTGGAGTTCCCACTCTAGAGTCCCTCCTCAGTGAGTCCTGCCTACCCAGCCCTTTTGGAGTTATGTGAAAGAGACAGGACTGACCACATTCCTTACAAGGTATTTACGCCACTCAAGGAGAATCACTCTCACAAGCTCAACCTAAGAGGACCTTTCGTTGTTTTCAATTAAATACATACATTTTGTGTAAGAAGGGAAAAAACAGCCAAAGTAGTCATACTCTGAACAGACAGTCACATGAACCTTAAAAAAGACCCTGTAAAGAAAATGGTGAAAGATATGATTGTTCATTAAGATTAATCAACATTTTACACAAGTCTAAATTTTAGGCAAAGAATAATACTACTGCTTTTCTCTTTAAAAACTACGTTATCTGTGCATGCTCAAGTGCTCAAAAAGTAAATGTACTTCATATTCTAACTCTTAACCTTCTGTCTGGTGTCATCCCAGACATGGAAATTAATCACTGAGTTTGTCAAAACCAGAAGACCCAGGAGTTCAAACGATGAAGAAAGGACCAGAAGGAGCAGAATTGCTACAAGCTGAGAAGCTGGTGTCAGATATAACACACCAGCTTTGCCTGATGAGGATGAGCATTCAGGGCTGAAATCCTCAGTGGAACCAACAGTGAGGTGCTGGGCCTCAGGAGGGCAATCCAGAGAGCAGTGTGTGAGAAGGTGAACAAAACGAGTTTGTTAACTGGATGGACTTAGCCACAGTGCATATGTATCTTTATCTATCTATCTATCTATCTGGGCCTCAGGAGGGCAATCCAGAGAGCAGTGTGTGAGAAGGTGAACAAAACGAGTTTGTTAACTGGATGGACTTAGCCACAGTGCATATGTATCTCTATCTATTGATCTATCGATCTATCTATCTATCTATCTATCTATCTATCTATCTATCTATCTATCTATCTGTCTGTCTATCTATCTATCTGTCTATCTATCTATCTATCTATCTATCTACATTTCAAGACTGGATTGCAGTGGAGTTGAAGTCAAATACTCAACCTCTCTGACTCAGACACTTCTGTCTCTGTGAGAGCACTCAAGTTTAAGTGTTTAAGAAACTCTTGGGCTTAAAGTGTGGGCACGTTTCAACTCCTCATACACCCAGACACTCAAATTCTCATTCAGCTCAAAGGAGSAAAAGCAGGCTGTGTGAGTCTTGCCCAGGGTGGTGAAAGCACAGAAATGAAGAAGTCAAAACAGCAGACAGTTTTGGGAAATTGGAAGCAAGGAGAGCTGCAGAAAGAGACTAAAAWCATGTAGCACTTAGGAGGAGGAGAAAAGGAAAAAGGTAAAATCCTGTTAGTTTAATATTCTGAATCTGTAAAGTTTTAAAGAACCTATCAATTTAAAAATAGGTGCCTGAAGCTGTTTACATTTGCTGACCCTCTACTTTTGCACCTGCCTTTGAGGGCTCTGTTGTTTTGTCCTGAAACCTGACAAAAATATCTAAAAACACAGACAAATTCTGAAACCATTGTGCAGCTTTGTCTTGCAATATATGGATAGTGAACAAATCACCAGAAAAGCCATTTAAATAGATCAAATGGGTTCCTGGAGCATGAAAAAGCATTTCTAGATAGTTCTCTGTAGAAAATGAGTATTTTCTATTATTTGGGGGAGCTAATTATGAAGTTTTGAAGGGATGAGTCAATGCTCCAAATGGWTATAGTCATTTTTCAATCTTCTATTAACACAACATCTATTTCTAAGAGCCCTCCAAACCCATGCCTTTTGTAGTCCAGATGCCACAATTCAAATTAGTTTAATTACTTTTACCATGTTATTTTTCCTAACCTACCATGACTCCTCTCACTTAAGCACTTAAGAACATGGTTACAACTCCTGCTCATTAAATCTTCCAAAACTCATCAATTATTGAATTAATAATGCTGAATAATGACCACTGTTCAGCCATTTCAAAATTTTCCACCCTTCACACAGCCCAACATCTGCCTTCCCATGTCTTTATTCATGTACCCTGACATCTGGAAGATCATTCACCCAGGGAAATAAATCTCTTGAACTTTTACTGTATAACCTGATGACATTCACGTATCCCTTA